AGTGGGTATAGTTAGGTGTGCTGCCTTTGTAGCTATGGATATTTCTATACCGCATTTGTTAATGTACACCAACCCATACGGCCTACGCGAGGCATGTTATGTATTGTAACGTGTGTTATAATATTACCTGAAGGATTGCATTCGAGTATTTTTTCGTGTGGGTGAGGGTGTTTAAACTTCCTAATATACGGCATCAGTTCCAAACACGTCATTATGAAAACTTTACATACACTTCTCGGGTCTCAGTTTATTTGTTTTGGGAACTCATTTGTTAAGATCAACTTTCACTAATCAATTATATAAAGTCGGTAATGCTTGGGCTGTTATTCAGTTTCCTGTAGGGATTTTGTTTCGGAAGGTGACGAAGCCGATGTTATCAGATAAGCTGTAAAGTTTCTTAATCGGACTTTTTGCTTTGTGTTTTTTCTTAAGAAATACTTTTGAAGCTTATGACCGGCCCACGATATGTGACTGGACGTTGTAAGGTTGTTAAAAAGAAAATATTACGCACATTACGTGATTTTTTAAAAACGTTTATCATATAACCTTATCAATATTTCCAACAATGAGCTGGTGTTATAGCCATAGTGGGGTCACACAAGAAAAACGTCAGAATATTGTTCATTAGGGAAAAAACTTTATATTAAAGAAAATCATCGGAAAGGTTCTGTATTAATCTTTTTTAACTGTTTATACTCTTCTGTGTCTGAAGCTTTGAAGACACGAACAGAGAATAACCACCACCACCACCACCCCACACACACAGACCTGAGCCCTGACACGTTGTGTCTGTGGAGAGACACACATTCACTGAAGAGCTATGGTTGGGCTCGCCTGCCATACGTTTTAAGAACTTCTCAAATACGTCCCATTTCTACTTTGACAATTAGGTCTAAACTCACACATAAAGAGGTGCTCGTCGGCTGTTATATTAATTTTATTACAAAAAAAGACGGAGTGTTTTTGCTCCCGGGTGGCCTCTGAAGAGGGTGGATGCGCTAAGTCCCCGACAGTACGATATTGTACCCTGACAGACAACAAAACACCGTTTGCCTCCTAATCTGTCCATGGTGTATAGCTTGCGGGGCTTGGGCGTTTGTGTGAATTTACTTTTCTCCACAAGTGGTGGAACTTTGTTTTCTGATATAATCTAATGTAAACATAATTTATTTGATTTCTGTCGGGTGTGTGATTGTACGATTAGAAACGGAACAGCGCCGATTCCCATCTATACGGGTAATATTTCTACCGTTCTCAACTTGTAAAATCTTAACCTTTTACCCAATATACTTCTGTAGCCAACGCAACATTAAATTTGAATTATTTACATTCAAATCAGGAATAGAAATATTGTGACAATCTTGAAGTGGAACTCTCTTTGTCTAGTAATGAAACTCCCTTTGTCCGGTAATTAAACTCCCTTTGTCTGGTAATGAAATTACTGTGTCTAGTAGTGAAACTTTCTTTGTCTGGATATGAAACTCTATTTGTCTAATAGTGAAACCCCATTTGTCTGGTAGTGAAACTCCCTTTGTCTAGAAGTGAAACCTCCTTGTCTAGTAATGAAGTCTCATGTCTAGTAGCGATACCCTGCTTGTCTAGCGAGACGGCCCATGTCTAGTAGTGACACTGTCCTTGTCTAGTGAGACGGCCCATGTCTAGTGGTGAAACTGTCCTTGTCTAGTGAAACGGCCCATGTCTAGTGGTGATACTGTCCTTGTCTAGTGAGACGGCCCATGTCTAGTGGTTAGACTATCCTTGTCTAGTGAGACGGCCCATGTCTAGTGGTTAGACTGTCCTTGTCTAGTGAGACGGCCCATGTCTAATAGTGAGACTGTCCTTGTCTAGTGAGACGGCCCATGTCTAGTAGTGAGACTGTCCTTGTCTAGTGAGACGGCCCATGTCTAGTGGTGAAACTGTCCTTGTCTAGTGATGAAACTGTCCTTGTCTAGTGATGAAACTCTCCTTGTCTAGTATGACCCTCCTTGTCTAGTGAGACGGCCCGTCTAGTAGTGAAACTGTCCTTGTCTAGTATGACCCTCCTTGTCTAGTGAGACGGCCCATGTGATAGGAAATGCATCAGACAACCGCACAACTGGGAAAGCTTTCTCTCCACACACAAATCTCAACAGCCCAGACAATAAACAAATTAGATCTTCAACTTTCCGAGTAAATTTATACGTTTTGTTAAAATGGTCATAATTTCAAGTCATAAAACGACTCGGAAGCCACTTTTCAAACTTACATGCCCCCGTCATATGAGAGAGATCCTCACGGTTCATGATCATTATAGTCAAATTACATCAGTTGGTGCAAGTTAATGTCGCTGATTCTACAGCGGGCTCTATGTCATTTCCTGACTCTCTATTACCATATATAGATACAATGCCCCGTTTCATTCATACAACTGTTTATAGATAATGATCAACATCCGAAATATAGTACTACAACTCCATAAAAGGAAACTGTCAGTTACCCATCACACGAACGTGAGAACAGTAGCTCGCGGCGGGCATGATCGGGGAAAAATGGCAATCATTTAATATTTGACATTTTAATATTCCTCAAAAGAACAACATAGTTATTGATAGAATTGGTTTTGTCCGGACGTGGCTCAACAGGGCTAAATCTGTCTCTTCTGTTTCCACATCTAAACGCCGAAATAAAGATACGCGTTACATAACTCTTATTTATCCGTCTTAAGTCTTACATGTGGTACACTGACGCCGTGCAAGTCGTAAAAGCAAAGCACCACTCAATTCATCCAATGAACAGTTGAATTCCTAATTGCATCGGTGTTTCTAGTGTCTAATACATAATCTGTAGTCTATCGGCATGATTTTATTTTTTGAATAATTTTATTAATAATTCGAGGGGACATTTATAGTGTGTTAAGGACTTCACTCTGACTCCATCTCGACACAGGTTGATGTACACATGTGAATCTTTGTTATCCGATATGGTTTTCGTTTCGTTTTATCAGATATATCGTTGTTAACTTGTTTTGTTATCGTCTCCAACTTGCTTCATCAACTGAGGATGAGCCAGAACAGACTCCACTTCCGATCCACTGTTTGAACCAGATTACCATAGTTAATTATTGTGACGATGCCTATCATATTAGCGTAATCTAAGCACTTGCCCAACAAATGGCGGAAAAAGGCGCAGTTCGTCAACACCTGTGATATTAATTCCGACAAAACCATCGTTACTTCCATGTCATAAAATCTGTTAAAAGTCACCGGAAGTAGAAAAAAGAAACTTAAAACAAATATACTTGATCTTCGCTTATCAAGGAACAAATGTTCTTGTGTGAGATGGAACTTAATAACTGACGGGTTGTTTTTTTCTATAGCTTCAATACTTTTGGAAACCATTAAACTAATACAAAATCACTTTAAGAGTAAAATGCGTGTTTTTTCTGTAATAAAAGCGTGTCCGTTGGTGTTTGATTAATTTGTTAGTCTGCAGATGCGCTGTATGTCGATGATAAGCTTAACCACAGTTTCCGGAAAACACAAGTGGGATTAGACCATAGAGATCGGGTTTCTGATATGCCTCACGTGCTCAGCGGACTTTAACATACCCGCTGCTGTAGGCGTTCGTTTACACCAGACCTCGTTATTTCGTCGTTATTTTTTAAAAACTTCAAACTAATGTCTTTCAGATGAATGTGTTGTAAAACTAAATCAATTTGACCGTATATTTAATATTTGTTATACATGTGGTGTATTTGTAAGCACTTCACTGCTTAGACTTAATAAAATGTTATATTGAATTATTGAATTATTATGACAAATATTGACGGAAGATGGGACGTGTAATGACCCTTAACGTGCCGTGGACTTTGCACTCTTAAATACTCTGAATTGGTCTGTCTTTCCGCCAGAGTAAACTGTTTCCATATAAAGACAAACTATAGACCATATTGACTTAATTGCCCAATTTCCAACTCTAAATATACACCAAAGTTCACTATTTAATATAATGATACTTCTGTACCCACCTGTTCCAAAGTTCACTAAAAAGTATTTCAAGGAAGTAAGTAAATTTTCATGATTACAATAGACGATAAAATCCATTGAAAGAACATTTACATGAAATTAGGAAACTGCAATAAATATATTTTAATGTGTTGATATGTTGAACATTGAAATTTCAGATTATTCCAGTCAAGCGCGAATTATTCCATATATGATACTGTATATATTGGATGATAGATATGACTATAGTATGATTTTGTCTTTATATATGTGTATGTACAGACTTTACGGCATATAAACTGGTAAACACGGGTTAAAGAGTCCCATGATCACCATGAGCTAACACACAGACGCCCGGGGCGCGATCTTAACATTTGAATGTGTTTCATACTCGAACGAAACTACTTTTATTGTGATTATCAATATTTTGACAGCTCGTGGATTTCTGCTAAAGGCTGCTGGTATGTTTAACTCTGTGCGTCCCTTCCTTCCTAAGAAGCCTTATTCTGTATCCTCCCCCTTTTCCGGTTGAGTACTTGAAATCCTCAATTTGGTATATTTAGGTATTTGATTAAATAATTGACTGTCGTATGGAGGTTAATACTACCACGCTCCTGCCATCGCTACTCCCAGATTAATATAGACAATGGAAATCATCATACGCTTCCATGTTATGTCTATCTAAAAATAAAACGTAATTTGATTTACCTTTGTTTTAATAGTTTCTGACGAATCATGAAATCGCCGGAATCCATTAATTACTTCCGATTGTTATGGGGTACGAGATATCTGCATCCCGCATTGAAACACCGCCCATGTAAACAGTGTTTGCTGAATTAAGAAACGTATCTGAGATTGGGGTCCAAACTACCTAAAAACCGAGATAATAAACGGTATAATTCGGGTATATGGTGACTTGCCGTTCACATTGGCCAAAATGAGAAAAGCGAAGCGAGCTGATTGGCAAACCCCTCGAGTTTGATTGACACTTGGCTCCGCCCCCCCAACGTATAAATATGGAGTTGACACAGAAAGCCGCTTCACATCCACTGCGACTTTCTAGCCTCAACCCAGCTGTAAAAAGTAAGTATATTACTTAATCCGTGTAGTTGGGCTTTGACAATGGTACTATTTCGTACGTTTGTCTACCATGGACTATCTCTGGGCGATTGGGACACAGTTTACTCGTTTTTACTCTACAGCGAAACACGTCGGCTAGTAACCTGTTCATTGTACACACGTGTTCTCGGGTTTCGCTTTGACAGTTGTGTTACAGGGAGAATGTCATCGTTTAAAACTATTATCCTAGCTCGTAACATGTGTGTGGCAATTTAATCAATTTAGATCTCTGGATGTGGCAAATTGTTAGTGTCATCTTCTGTGATTCAGTGATAGCCAGTCGGACGGTCCGATCGAAGTGCTTTCATTCATATATCTGTTGACAAGCACGTTCTCCGGTGTATAGCGTATTTCATGCGGTTGCGTATTCCTTGTGGGCTTTCCGGCGCGGACACACGCTAGAGCTATGTTTATACCATGATGTAAAGGTGTAACGGTATTTCTTGTAATTGTGTACACACAAAGAGTCTGAGTGTGTAATACCGCTCGACCAGCTGAAGGATCCGGTAATAACTGGGTGGTCATTTCGCGGGGTATTTTGAAATTGTACAAATTTATCGTCTGTTACTGCAGATGTCGTCTGCTCCACGTGCTACATGTCGTCTGCTACATCGTTGTCAGCTCAATAAGGTTGTCAGTTTTCTGTGAGTCATGGCTCGTAGACACTGTCACCTATCTCAGGTGTACTTCCGTCTACGCCGGCGGGACGAAGCGCTTGCTTTCAAGGTCCTGTCATTTGAAGAAAAAAAGAAAGTTGATATCATAAATGTCATTTCCTTTCCTGTTATACAATGTTAGCGCGATTTGTTAGAGGCCAGTTTCTACCGTTACAATCAGGGCCCCCTATATGTGTCGCAGTGCCTGTAACGGACGTCTTACCCCGCACGGTTAACATAATCAATGCGTTCCGTTTCATATGTCAACTTTGGCCCAGGTTTTCTTGGAGACCTAGAATAAACCACGGGCTTCCCAATGAGTGGAATCCTATTTCGGCTGTTTATGTCAGCACGTTGATGAGTAAAACGCTGGTGAGACACTATTTATGAATTGTGTGCATGTTGTGTCAGATCGATATATACTAGGAGTGATCATATAGGCTCTCCACCCACATACGGTATTCTACAGCAGATATCGGCTCTCGACGTCAACACTTGTCCTGATAAGCAGTATCAGGCGTGATTCGCGTACTAGATGAGAAACTGTTTCCTCGCGCTGTAGTCAATGTTGCCGTATTCACGGCTCTTTTAACAGGTGGTACAAAGTTGCCATGTACTCGCTCGGGCACCTGTTCAGCACCTGCTAGGCAAGGCGCTCGTATTCGTGTGGACACACGGAAATTAAAAATTTCGCCGCCGTTTGTCTATCGCTACTCAGTAATAAACACATAATTACTCTTTTATTATGACCTAACAAGTTTAATATATAAGTTGAAAGCCGGCCATACTCTCGGCCAGTATGACGCATTGTCGGGTATCAGATGACATAGTATATATCAGGATAGTCACAGGTGCTGTCTCAAATGTCTATTCCAAGCACACATCTTTGAAAATAGATTTCCTTTACGTGAACTGTTTAATATGGGAGCCAGTCTGATGATCTGTCTCAAAAGTCACCTGACAAGCTTAATTTTGCAATGTCATCGCTTCTCTATAATCTATAACATCAAAACATACTCATCCCGTTTTGTTTATTTCAGCGTGTATTTACCTCTCTGGAGTACGTACCGACTACTGAACATACGGACTCACGGATCGTCCTGTGACAGTTACTGCTTCTACTACTTGTGACTTGCAACACTGAGTTTCCATACCGCATCTTTGTATAAAAGAGATAGACGCAATGGCCGCATTATCGGTATACCTGGCCGCCTTAGTCGTTGGAATGACGGCGGCATACTTCAAATTTCTCTACAGGAGAAGGTACGTTGAAATACAGCTTGACATATATGACAAATGTTGAATAACGGATTTGGGTTTTATATCATTTTTATTACCCTTTGCCGAATGACTATGTAACTTGAATTGAAATTTATGTTTTTTGATAATTCTTTAATTTGCGAACATAATTTAATGATTTTTTTACCGTAATTTGGCATTTGTATAGTATTTATTATAACCCACGCGTGATTCACATTTATCCAAACGTCACGTGCGGTTGAATATTTTTTTAGTAGATAATAAACTGCTTAGCTAGCTGGATGAAACTGCGATATCGTACCTTTATTGTCGGTAGGGGATTTCGCGGCCGGGTTATACCAGGCAGTTAACGATCGCTTAGACATTGGTCTGTAAATGCATAGTTCGATAATAAATGTAAATTCGGTAAATTTGCAAGTATTTTTCTGATTTAGTTTATTAATATATGATATGAACTGGATCTAGGACGTAAGGTTAAAGTTAGGTATGCCCTCTCCTCCCCGCGTTTCCCCCCGGCGTCTTGAGCGCTCCGAGACAGGGGGCACGGGCCATATACAGTCGCTTCACTCCGGTACGACAGCGCGGCCCGTACCGAACGTTGTAACAACAGCCAGCACATCCCCCTTCACCCCACCCCCTCATTGTCTCACGCTCGGCACATATGGAATCGTAAACCCTAACTGCCAAAGATACACTTACATTTTGATTCTATATGAAAGAAGATACGCTTTCATATCGTAGACGTCTTCCTATAGGTTTGGGGGGTTACATCCTGCTAACGTTTCACCGGTTGTTTCAAACGATTGATTTTATGCTTTTTCTACGTTACAGACGAGAGGGTGAACCTCCCCTGGTTCCCGGCAATTTTCTCCTGGGGTCAGGCGCTGAGTTTGCTCAGCACGCCGTCAAATTCCTCCACAAATGCAAGAAAACGTACGGGGATATTTTCACCATCCGGCTGCTCAACCAACACGTCACCATTGTCATGGACCCTCATTCATACGAAAACTTGACCAAGGAACGCCGATTTGACTTCGACCCTATTCAGAGACAGGTGAACCATAATGTATTTAGTTTCGAACTTGTCGATGCACGCAAAATGTTGAGCGAGGCTGGTAAAAAAGTCAATGGGCGCCACCTCCATGGCGGGATGAAGAATTTCTCGGACAATTTACGGAATGCTTTCGACAAAGTCACCAACTTGGATGTCAACGGTAACGTTGTGAAGACAGTGGGCGACCAGTGGGGCCACGACGGCCTCAGGACACTTACTTCCAAAACTATCTTCGCAGCTCTATTCTATACCATATTTGGACACGGAGAATCACAGGCTGAATTCGAGCCCCAAATGTTTCACAAAAGTTTTGACGTTTTCCACAAATACTTCAACTATATGTGGTTAGGCCTTCCCGCCAAACTGTTCCCCAAGGCAACCAAAGCCCTACAGGTTCTGTGCCAGCAACCCAGCTCAGAGGATATGCTTATGAGGGAGGGGGTATCGGAGTACATCAAATTCGCCACGGGCTTCATGAAGGATAACGCTCAGAGCGAGCAGGACATCATCGGCCACAACCTCGTGTTCCTCCACGTCAACTACAACACCTTCCGCCTCGCCTTCTGGTGCCTCTACAAACTACTAGAGAACAAGAAAGCTCATGCAGCCCTTGCTGAAGAAATCAGAGAGTTCGTGGAAGACAAACGAGCACTTACCACAGGACAAAAGGTGGAGATTCTCATGGAGGAATTCGACAAGCTGCCTCTTCTAGGTAAATATAATTTACGCTTAAAAAATTCATTTTATAAACGAATAATCATGGGTGATGTATACTTATTTTTGAAAATTACACTTGTTTTAATGCATTGTTTTCAATTAAGTTTACCTAAACTGACGAACTTATTTTTGTAATTACAGACAGTTTTATCAAGGAGACCCTCCGCATCACGAGTGGGGTGTTCATGGTCAGATATATTGCTGAGGATACGGATTTTACCTTGGAATCTGGAGGTACCTACCGCTGTCGACAGGGTGACCGTGTTGCCATCTACCCACCTGCAATCCATATGGATCCTGAAATCTACGAAGATCCTGAGGTATGTATTACCTTGTCCTCAGTAATTACAGATTAATTCTTCAAATTTGTATCGTGGTGTATCAAACTTAAAATATTATCTGGGGAAATGCTTGGGGTGCTGCCTTGTCGGGTTTCGTATAGCACGCCCTTAAGGAAATGGAATTACATGTTTAGCTTGATTTCGAATAATTTGAAAAGTATTTGGGTCTGTGTAGTTAAACTTTTTGCCTCTTTGAAATTGATTTTAAAGGTAAATAAAGTGGCGACGAACTATTTAGAAAGAAACTCTTGTTAAAAATAGCCTCAGCTATACTTCCTAGAGTTTGTTATTAAAAAGCGTTTGCTTGCTGAACCAACACGGATTTCGAGCATAGGCAGAAATGTTAAAAAAATTACACGAAATTTCTAACTTACCGGAAGTGCCATGCAGGAAAAACGTTATATTGTATTATTGCACGTGATATTGTTTTGGTCCAGCGAGTTTCAGAAGAGGGGAAGTGTTTAAATTCTGAGGGAAAGTCACACAAAACTCAATATTTGCAGCGCGATGTTGATACTCGGTGTAATTATAGTTGAGCAGCTCCCAACGAACTTTCACCTTAACCAATGTTTTGTTTAGGGATCCGCATTGCCTAGGGGCTTGTTGGGTCGGGGCAGCAGTTTGATAAACATGAACGCTAGGGGGAAAGGCGAGGGGGGACGAGGAACGCGCATGTGTACAAACCCCGTGTCATGCAAGGCTCTTCTAACAAGTCTTTATGTCTTTGTCTACAGGAGTTCAAATACGACCGTTTTGTCGATGCCAAATTCTACAAGAATGGCAAAGAGCTGAAGCACCCAATCATCGCCTTCGGATCCCTATGTCCAGGAAAAAAGTATTCCCTTCTTCAAATCAAGTGGTTTTTGCTGAACCTTATCAACAGCTTTGAGATGGAACTCTTAGACGGTGAAAGCACTATCCCCGATGTGAATTTCTATGGACATGAAATATTGCCTCCCGTGCACGACGTCCAAGTTCGCTACAGGCTTCTGGAAAACTCCCATGAACTCGATTTGGTTTCCAAGAGATCATGCTAATACCCACAAAGCAATGCGTTATACAAAGACACCTGTATTATATTCCTAATTTATTGAACACTTGTGAGTCAAAAGTATTTTTGTGAATGAACCGACTGAATGTTCAGCATGAATCTCAGTATGAAGAGCGCCATAGCGCAGGCAATCAACGCGGAGAAAATGTCGCTGAGATTTTTTGACTTTTTCTACCCTTCTGTCTGCATGAACAAAGACTGTAACAGACAGGCATTGTTGCTGGAGTTGCATTTATTGTACAGTATCTTACGGGTAAAAGTGCAAAAGTGAAAATGGACAAGGCTGTGGTTGACCAAAGAGACAGCGTCTACCAGAGATGCCTCGTTTTCGAAAATGGACACGTGATGAATGTGCTGGTTGTGTGGCGAGGACCAAAGTGGTAAACTATAGCCTATCTAGTCTGCAGTAGTCAGGCGCAGTGATAACCACGCCCTTGTTTTAGCGTGGTAAAGACTTGAGTCCCCATCCCTCCCCCATCCTATGACTGTACAGACTTACTACATCACATCAGGAATCGAGATGAAGGCTTGTTTCATTGAGTTTGACAAACTATATAAATACCAAAATATGAATTTGTCACGTAAAAATATTTAATAGTTAATGTATAAAAATACGATATGAAATGCATTGCTAGGAGTCTTGACAAATTGTGTCAAGTTTGTTTATTAATTTTCCAATTTGTTACTGTGTTTCATGTTTTTGTTGATGCAATGCGCGACTGCCGATTCCTGAAAATATGAACGAACAAAGCACGTGACTTTCTTGCGTCCAGATAGTTTCATTACCATATCTTTAATTATCACTTGTTTATTTCATTTTTACATAATCCGCGAAACATTCATTAACATATTTTTATTTATTGAAATTGATTATGTTTACCCTATATCAAAACATTCAAAATGTTATACTGATTTTGTGATCACATACGTTGTGGAAATGTTTACAAGTGACAGATGTTAGAACCGATATTTCGTATATCAACAATAATGTGCATTTTTGAAAATGTTTTTTCTATCGATTTTCATGAACGTTGAACATCCTCTGTCATAATACCATATGTATAATGTAACATGTAATTTATTTTGTATATATATAAATTTATTTATCTTTCGTCTCACTACTTCTTCATCTGGTGCTGAACAATAATAAATAATTTATTGAGAAATGAATGCTAATGTTTTTACTTTGAGTGTCATAACGCTTATCATACACGGAGGAGGCCATTACGACGGGCAGTTATTGCTGCCGTCCTTGATCGCGGCGGTAACGCCAGGTTTTAGCGAGCATGGCGTTTGTGAATATTTATCTTTAAGAGCGTCGCCGTCATTTCTTGTAATAGACATTTGTCATGCGTCTCTCATCTGCATTATCTACCTGTAATTACACCTGGGAATGTTTACCAGAACCATATCTACCTGTCCGTGATCAGCTGATAACAATACCTGATACAGTCAGCATATTCCAGCTTACGTACAGACAACGGTGGGATTAGCTGGTTAACGCGAACAATTACGACAGATCTACTAGGGTATATCTGGTTGTATTCAACCCTGTAGCAAGACCCGCTGTCTCGGAGTCGTACGCTGTAGAATAGGATATATTTCTCCGCGCCCGTAAACATCAGGGAATAACGTTTATAATGCTAATAAGAATAATAATAATAGTCTCTTAGACTAATGTTTACTGCTTTTTTAAATCATGAGAAGATAGCATAAATTAGCTGCCGGTCCATAGTTCTTCATAATATGTGAAACCGTTCCTCAGTAATTGACAAATACGTAAATCAACAGCACATCTGAAATTTGTATTATTCTGTGCGTTCCAAAAATATATCTAGAACTAGTGTAAAATTCCCAGTATTTATGTTTCTACTAGTGGAGCTGAAGGCCCGTTTTTTGTTGGGAACGTACGTTCTTGATACGTTTGTATTGCCTTGAATTGTCACGCGTGTCAATGTTTAGTTAATTCAGAAAATACGCTTTACTGTTCTGTACTGGAATGGAGTAATTTAAATGTTTGGAATATTCATGCGATCACTTCGGTATCCCAAATTTAGATTTTATAAAATTCAATAACGCGCATGTTTTAAAGATAAGTGTCACTTATAAGATGACTAGTACTGTGCCTCGTAAATGTCACGCTTTGGGAGAAATTCTCACAATTTAATCAACTTAACAATCCCTAATAATTTGCAGTACACCTATCGCTGAACGTATGTTTAATCCATTTGTCACATTTGTTGAAACATAAATTATACGTAAGTAAAAACTATCAATTTCAGAAAACGAGGGCAAAAATATAACTTTCGATTAAAACATTTTCTTCACCCAACTGTCAAATGCCGAGGTTGGCTGAGGATGCTGTTTGGTCCATGTACTCGGCATAATTAAGAAAAGTAGGCAAAGAAAGTTATATTTATATAATAGAGAATACAACTCCGTATATTTCAACACATGCATGTCTAGTTGTAAGGGCAGTATGAGTCATAAAGGCACATTTAGGTAGCCGTTTGACCAAGTCGGTGACCCAGGATGATCCTTCCAGGGACGTAGACAATGTCGGCAGAAAACACGATAAACAATCATCGGGATCACTGATTTTCTCCAGAAGTTGGTAAAATCGGCCTTTTCAATCACGTTATATATTCTGGTGTACTTGAAGATGCCAGACAACACTCTTGGGTAATAGGGGGAAATAAATCAGTTTTATTATCATCCACTTCAGTATGTGTGATAATTTTAACATATTTTAATTTGACATTTCCTACGGGTTTTTATCATACTTCATCCTTCTCTATAAAGAAATACCATCAACAAAGAAATATATACGGTTAAGTTAAAACTGTTAAGAAATTACAAATCGGAGTTTGTTACTCTACTTTACTTGTTGTCATGCACGGTCAGAGAGGCAGCACCAAGAATATTCTTCTTTCAACGTAATGTTTATGCAATTTGTACAGTTTCTATTTGCACTCGGCGTCAGCGTTGACAAACCTGTGGCGGAACAGCACCCTGTAACGACGACTACATTTCCACACGGTAGAGGGCGTGGTTCAAGATAAACATCACACACACTTCATATTCCAACTAATGCAAGGCTATCAAAAGAAGGACATAAAAACACGATTCTTAATTCTTTTGAATGAAGTAATAGGCTTAGAAATGTTTCAAATGAAATCGGATTTGGATTTAATATAAAAATAGGAAGCTGATAATTCTGAGAGTTATAATCCTGCAAGTGGAAGAAATGAAGGATGTTTTTTATATGAATGGCAGCCAGTGCCCGCCTCTTTCTCTACCACAGAACGGGCAACGCAGTCCGCCGAATGGATTAACTAAAATAACGATTGAACTACAAAGCCGACTTTGATATTGTTCAGGAAATGTCTAACTGAGCGATATTGAAAAATATTAATTTCCTGAAATGTACATGGTAAGATTGATATACTGGTGAAACAAACGGCCTGTTCATTTCAAGAGAGGCCCCTACACTAATTCCCACTTTAGCGCACAAAGGACGCCTCGACAACGCGCGAAGCTATTGGCTTCTATTGTATGTGGCGGGCGAACGGCCGCTGTATTGGCTTAAATTCAGAGTTGTGTCGCTTACTGCTTTCCTATATGAGTTAAGATTAACGGTGGCTGTCTGTGTACCTAACACAATGTTCTTTTCTATAACGAGGAACGGTCTCACAGGAACTGATGCGATTAAGGTTTGTGTGGTCACGTGATGCGACCCCCTGCACTGTTGGGACAAAAGGGAGAAAGTTTATTTCTCGATTTTATGCAACATTTGGGAACTGATTTGGTTTTGAAACAGTTTATTTGATCACAGGTCTTAAAACGTTTTAAAGCCCATTATGCTAAATGTTTAAATATTCCCTGATTGAACATCACGTGAGAACTGCTTTTCGCTGCGAAATTATTCATTTTGAGAACCTTTCCATTATTTCACATAATCTGCTACAGTCAACATCATGTTTATACGAAATATTGTGTTTTTTATTTTTCTAAAGCAGAAAGTGAAATGTGTCAGCAGAATATTTGATGATTCCATCCATCGGGTTCTTCAATGTTGTATATGATTAGAAACAGTTACATAATAGCTGGACACATTCACGTTGGATCATATTTTCGACCTTCCAAACTATGCTGGGTAGGATCACAATACTGACGTACTTCATCTAGAAGGTATCACAATAATGACGTATCTCAGTTAAAGAATAGCACATGACTGACGTACGTCAGGTAGAAACTATTACAATTCTGACGTACATTAGCTAGAAGGTATCTCATGACTGACGTTAGCTAGAACGTATCACATAACTGATATACATTAGCAAGTCGCTATCACATAGGTGACGTACATTAGCTAGGATATATTGCAAGACTAACGTACATTAACAAGGATATATTGCATGATTGACGTACATTAGCAAGAAGCTATCTCGTGACTGCCGTACATTAGCAAGGATATATTGCATGACTGACGTACATTAGCAAGAAGCTATCTCGTGACTGCCGTACATTAGCAAGGATATATTGCATGACTGCCGTACATTAGCAAGGATATATTGCATGACTGACGTACATTAGCAAGAAGCTATCTCGTGACTGACGTACATTAGCTAGGATATATTGCATGACTGACGTACATTAGCTAGGATATATTGCATGACTGACGTACATTAGCAAGAAGCTATCTCGTGACTGACTTACAATAATTAGCTAGGATATATTGCATGACTGACGTACATTAGCAAGAAGCTGTCTCGTGACTGACTTACAATAATTAGCTAGGATATATTGCGTGACTAACGTACATTAGCTAGGATATATTGCGTGACTAATGTACATTAGCTAGGATATATTGCATGACTGACGTACATTAGCAAGAAGCTATCTCGTGACTAACGTACATTAGCAAGGATATATTGCATGACTGACGTCCATTAGCAAGAAGCTATCTCGTGACTGCCGTACATTAGCAAGGATATATTGCATGACTGCCGTACATTAGCAAGGATATATTGCATGACTGACGTACATTAGCAAGAAGCTATCTCGTGACTGACGTACATTAGCTAGGATATATTGCATGACTGACGTACATTAGCTAGGATATATTGCATGACTGACGTACATTAGCAAGAAGCTATCTCGTGACTGACTTACAATAATTAGCTAGGATATATTGCATGACTGACGTACATTAGCAAGAAGCTATCTCGTGACTGACTTACAATAATTAGCTAGGATATATTGCATGACTGACGTACATTAGCAAGAAGCTATCTCGTGACTGCCGTACATTAGCAAGGATATATTGCATGACTGACGTACATTAGCAAGAAGCTATCTCGTGACTGACGTACACATTAGCTAGGATATATTGCATGACTGACGTACATTAGCAAGAAGCTATCTACTCGTGACTGACGTACATTAGCAAGGATATATTGCATGACTGACGTACATTAGCAAGAAGCTATCTCGTGACTGACGTACAATAGCTAGGATATATTGCATGACTGACGTACATTAGCTAGGATATATTGCATGACTGACGTACATTAGCAAGAAGCTATCTCGTGACTGACTTACAATAATTAGCTAGGATATATTGCATGACTGACGTACATTAGCAAGAAGCTATCTCGTGACTGACTTACAATAATTAGCTAGGATATATTGCGTGACTAACGTACATTAGCTAGGATATATTGCGTGACTAACGTACATTAGCTAGGATATATTGCATGATTGACGTACATTAGCAAGAAGCTATCTCGTGACTGACGTACATTAGCAAGAAGCTATCTCGTGACTGACTTACAATAATTAGCTAGGATATATTGCATGACTGACGTACATTAGCAAGAAGCTATCTCGTGACTGACTTACAATAATTAGCTAGGATATATTGCATGACTGACGTACATTAGCAAGAAGCTATCTCGTGACTGACTTACAATAATTAGCTAGGATATATTGCGTGACTAACGTACATTAGCTAGGATATATTGCGTGACTAACGTACATTAGCTAGGATATATTGCATGATTGACGTACATTAGCAAGAAGCTATCTCGTGACTGACGTACATTAGCAAGAAGCT